ATCCATCCATCCATCCATCCATCCATCCATCCATCCATCCATCCATCCATCCATCCATCCATCCATCCATCCATCTATCTATCTATCTATCTATCTATCTATCTATCTATCTATCTATCTATCTATCTATCTATCCATCCATCCTCTGAATATTGTGGGACTCTCTGTCTTCAATCATTTCTGCATGTTCAGTAAGATCTAAGAGAGCTGGCATGCTCTGAATCCTGTCACTTAGGCAATATCATGCGATGTACTTTCACTATTATTACTCTATCCTTGGAACAGCATTGTCCCTCAGTTCCGGCTGGGCCCCACTCTTGCCTGGCTTTTAGAAGGCATTACAAATCTGTTCCCCCCCTCCCAAGCATTGAGTCTGGGTGTGGTAGGATCCACTGGATGTGTTTGTCTTGGCACTTTGTGTGCATATGTTTCAGTTTTGGTTTATTCATGTTTTTCTATTATGTGGTTGGTATGAAATTCACTACTGTTAGTTGATGCTGGAGGCCATCTTGAGCTGTGTACTGACTGGGTGGCTATAAAAATGTATATAAATGATCCACAAATTGAAACTATGCTGTCACCAGTAAGTTATACTTTTTCAGTCTGACAAAGTGTAAATGCTTTGGTTGTAAAATAGTCTGGCCACCATGCAACCAGTTCTAGAAAGGGCTATTTCTTCAATACAAAACCCCAAGTTCTCACTTTGGAGCTTCCCTACATTCAGCTTTGTCACTGAAAGAAAAAGTTACATTAGCAGCAGGCATGGCTTTAGAAATTTTCCCTAACTGACCTGACATTCTGAGTAATATGTGTATTATTTTCATCCAATCCAGACTACTGAAATAATTTCTATGTTGGTCTTGCCTTGTGGAGAATTTAAAAACTACAGATGGTACAAACAAATAGCTATGTTCTTGTTTGACTAGAACCAGCCAATCCAAATATACTACCTCAGTTCTATTGTACTCCTTCTGAACTCACTGTAGGGTTCAAAATAATATTGGTCAAATGATCAGGACTGCATTTGCCCTTGTTTTAAAAGGCACAACTATCAGTCTACGTATTAAAAATCACACAGAACCTCTTTGTCCAAAACCTATTACTTGAGGCAATACTCCCCAAGTATTTTAAGCTGTTTTCACCCACATTATCCACCCAGTGCCCAAACTATCAGTGCTATTGGGTGTCATTTGGTTTTATTACAGTAGGTCACATATTGAATCAAACATCTGCTCTGAGTCTGAAAAAAATCTCTGTAGACAGTGGTTTACCATTCAGATATAATGATAAACCTAGAATTTTTAGCCATGGAATGTTGGCTAAATCACATTGGCCGGATTGGTGGCTAATGTTTAAATTACAAATCTCATTTAAAAGAAATATGGCATAATACCGCATATGAATCCAGCCAAAGGTAAAGGTAAAGACAGAAAATTAGAACTAGTGAATTGTGGGTTTCAGTAGCTTTCGTGATTAGTTAAAATGATTTAAATACGTTCTGAATCATTGCGGTTCAGTTTAAACAGATTAGCTTTGGAAACCCTTTAAGTAAATGTGAAGTTTCCTAGACTGATGAGCTTACTATATTGAGGTGGTGGGGGTGGGGGTGGAAAGAGTGTAGGACAGATAGGAGTGAATACAAACAAGTTACAGACTTCTGTAGATAAGCTGGCATTCTCGAGAGGCGCATGATACCGCTTGAAAGCTCTGTAACTACTTGGGATAGTACAAAGTGTAGCATCACTTTGTTTCAGAGGAACATCAGTGAAGACTGAAGTGTTCCATCTAGAAGGCACAAGTGCGGTGTGAAAGAAAACAGTGTAAACCAATTCCAATCTACTTTATTGGAATCTTTTTGAGGGACTGACATTCTCTGAAAACTTACTACAACAGCTACAGTAGCTGGACTCCTGAAGTACATGTATACACTGAACTGCTTTTAAAACTGGCCTAGAAAGTTTAATTGGTTTAAACGTTAGCTGGAACTGTCCTTGACTTACGACCATAATTAAGTCCAAAATTTCTGTTGCTAAGCAAGACGGTTGTTCAGTGAGCATTGTGAGAAGGTAGAAACAGGTAATCACGTGACATTGCAACTGTCATAAATATGAACCAGTTGCCCAGCATCTGAATTTTGATCAATGGTCAATGGTCATAAGTGTGAAAAACAAGTCATAAGTCATTTCTTCAGTGTCAGTAATTTTGAACGGTCACTAAGTGAATGGTGATAAGTTGAGGGCTACCTGAGTATAAACATATGCCATTGCTTCAATATCATCAGTGATTCCCAGTCCTTTGGACTCAAGTCAAAATAATTGGCTTTGATCTTTAGGCCTTTCACTGCTTAATACCAGGTTGTTCCTAACTTGTCTTGAAAATCTGGAAGCTTTAGAAGTCCTTGGATGCTCTTTCCAGATGAAGTGCTGGCATGCAACCAAGTGTAGACTGCAATTTAAAGATGTTCCCTTGACTCTAGCTTTAAAATCAGATAAGCACCATTTTATTTCCACAACTCTAGTTTGTTTTAACAATTAAAATTCTTCTGTAATCTCTCAAATCTGTCCAGCTACTTTTTAATTTTCTGCTGTTTAGATGCTATGCTGCTTCATATTTCATTATTTTACTATTCCTTTCATATTTTTAAACATATTTTATGTCAGTGTTATAACTGGTCAGCTTTTTTATTTATTAATGGAGAGCTAATTAATGCTATGGAGAAAATAATGTAGCAAATCATAAATGGTAATAAAATGAATATATTATTTTATAGCATAAAGTATTGTGCACAATCAGGTGTGCTGAGGTTTAAACTGAATTGTCACTTGGATTGGGTTATTATCACCTCTACAATCAACCATATATATTTAGATTTCAACACAATCTGTACTCAAAAGAACTTGGCACTGAGAAAACTAATTTGAGATAAATGTGTAAGTTGACTTCATGCTTATATTCTTTTTGTCTATCAAATGCTACCCTTGCAGTCAGAGCAGACAAGAATATGGAAATCAAAACTGAATATGGAAATTTAAAAATCTCTTTCTTTTGATATCTTTGCTACAGTTTCTACGAAATTGAACATGGAATGTAAGATGTCCTATAATTTTTAGCTGGCATTGTCCTTGTATTTTAATGTAGCATTACTCCTATAGATTTATTTCCATATTGGGGAAAACAAAACAAAACAAATCATTGTTTATAGCGCTGATCCATTTGGAAAGGTGCTATTGTCATGTCACTATTCCATATTTTGTCAATTATTTTCCAAGTGCAATTTACAATCTTTAAACTAGGCTTTACTATCTGTGTGCTCTTCTTTATGCAGCTGTTTAAATATTAAGTCCTTAGGATAAGGACTTTTTCAAAATGCCCTCATTTTAAAAGGCCAGCTTATCAAGCATGTGAAAGAAAATTTTCTGTGAGAGCCCCAAACAATGAGCTACATTCTTTGGAATTTGCATTTGATCTGACAATCTTTTCATTCAGGCATTTTGAACATTTTGAAGGTGGGCTTTATATTTTAAGATTATATACATCTATTATTATATTGAGATTGCATTTAAGAGGGAAAGACCTAAGCTGCATTAACCAACTTGTTTAGAGAAGAAGACAAGAATAAAACCATCAACAAAACATTTATTCATATAGTAAGCTATATATTTACGGTCAATGGCTTATTAAAAACAACAACAATTTTTCTGCTCATGCTAGTTCTAGCCAATTAAAGTTGCTTATTGACATGAAAAGGAGAAGTCAGATCATATACCTTTATTACAGTGTTAATAAAGTGTTAGATCAGCGTATGAAAAAGTATCAGTGAAGGGAAATCAAACTTACTTTTCTACTGGTTGTCCTGCAGGTATGTGCTCCACTTCAAATCCTGCTTGTCTCAACACATCAATAACAGTGTTATTGCCCAGGAAATGACCTAATCGATGAACAGTAATAACAGGAAGTCATTTGAAAAGCCGATGAAGCACATCCTCAATTATGCCCTAATTTGAGATTAGTCATTCTTTTCTAAAATAAGGATTTTATTTATTGTTGGATTTATAGACAAAGACATCTAAAAGTATTGGAGTGGATAAAGCAAAAATACCAATCGAACAATTTTGTCTGAAATGGTATAGGGTTTCCTACCTGAGCAGGGGGTTGGACTAGAAAACCTCCAAGGACCCCTCCAACTCATTCTATTCTATTCTATTCTATTCTATTCTATTCTATTCTATTCTATTCTATTCTATTCTATTCTATTCCATTCCATTCCATTCCATTCCACTCCACCCCACCCCACCCCACCCCATCCCATCCCATTCCACCCCATTCCATTCTACATTTTGATTCTCTTATTTATTTCCCTATTTCCTAGTTCATTGTGTGGGGATTGGAATCACTATATTGAAAAGTTCTTGATGTCAAGCATTCCGACTGCGACTTGCAAATATTCCTTTTTCTCAAAAATTGGGAAAGGAAGGTTCTAGATTGTTTCATGTAGAAACTTTTTGAAACACATGGGCAATGCACTTTGGCATATACAGTGCTGAATCTTCAGTTGTCTCAATGTACCTAAGCTAGGTACATGTAATGAAAATGCATTCTCGTTCAACTTCATAATTTTTTTTAGGGCAGGGAAAATACAGTTATATATAAGTTATTTGATTTACATTCACTGCATCAGCTTCTGTGTTTCATGTCATTAGTGTGAGGTGGGAGGCTTTTTTTATCCTCCTCCCAAACGGCTCAAGGTGGAATAATCCCACGATCATTTCTATACATCTCACACCAATCACCAACTAGATTATTCTTTACTATCTGTATAATAAAAGATCTTAAATAGCACATTCACATACTGTACACAAAATTACATAAAACCAACTTTTTAAGCTCCCTACACAATCTTCCTTCAAAACAACTTTTATAGCTGGGCTTAATGTTTAGGTCTAATTACGGAGGCTAATTTATAAGACTGAGTTTAAATCTCCTTCCAAGAAAATACATTTCTTTTTTTTTTATTAAGGCATTTATTGATTCATAAGAAACAGTTCTATAAAAATATTAGGGGATTATTTGCTCCTTGCCTTTTCTTGCAGTATGAAAGAATGAACCTCAGGGGCCTAACAAGCAATCAATTATTTGCATTTTGCTTTTAAAATTGCTGCTGAATGAAGAAAATTACTTACTCCAACTGAGATTTTTTTACTTCTGAAATAGGTCATATTTCTGTTTTATATCTCTATATTACATCAATGGCCAAAAGTGGGAAAAGGGGAGGAAAAGAGCATGATTTAACGTAACAACTGAATTTCAAAAGGGGACTTTAAAATTGCATCTGAAGTAAAAGCACAGAACCCATATATGATGAAAGGCAAACCACAGGAGAGTCCAATTTTCTATCAGAACCATATCCAAGTTCTCTAGGAGAGTGCCATAAAGATATATTAATAATCTCAGCAATCACAAATGGGAACTGATATTGATAGGTTTTTTTTTTATTAAAGAAGCATTTTGAAAATTGACCTCAGCAGTATATTTATATGCTGGAAAGTGTCAATATGTACTCTTGCTCTTGATAGTATTTCGTCTGCTTCAACTTACAACATTCTCTCTATGATATATTTCAGATATTTGGGGAATGATACAATTGTCAGTTACTGGTATACCCCAAAAGTAACTGGATTGCTAATATACAAATCTAAATTCTCTGTAAGAATATGTTCTGTGAAGCACAATGGTGTAATTAGATAGGTTTCTATGTTAAGTGTAATGTAGATACCCATTTCTTGCTTGCTTTGCTAAGGAAAACCCTGCACATTTGCCCCAGGTCCTGCCTTACCATAGCAGCTAAGAACAACAACTAAAAAGATTAGATCATCCCACATTTTTCTTATCAGTTACCAACAAGATATCTAAGGGCCACCCAAAAAGAAGATGTGAGTTTAATAGCACCTGTTCATCATATTGTGCATCTGATATTCTTTGTGTGTCTCATTCATTCTATCAATCTTAAGTATGATTTCCAGCATCGTTATCATTTCTCACTTCATAATCCAACTTGAATTACTTTCAGGACATGGAATCAGTTACTACTTCCCAAATCGGGTACAATGTTACAGCAGACATTAATAACCACTACAATCAAGTTAAAAATCACTAGAATCAAGTCAAAAGTTATTAACATTCCACAATGGATCAAGTTAAATACAACAATACAAATGTTCTTTACTTTGATACAACAGTTGAAAAAAAATAGGACTATTATGGAAAATAATTCAATAAACCAGAGTTTCTCATTCACGAAGATGCTATTCAGGTGATATATTCATCTTACTACATGGCAGTCCCCACCCCTCAAACAACCCTACAGTGTTGTTGATTGTGCCTGGTGAACACTTCAGATGAATGTATTTATCTGAGCTCATATAAATATGCGTGTGGTAGAGGCAAGAAGGATGCTTTGAAAAAAATGTTTTATATTTTATCTGACTCTGGAGATTCTCTCCAAATGTCTTTGCTTCTTTGCTTGCTTGCTACATATTCACAGACGCAGGGAATTAAAGAGTAAAGTTATTCAAAAGAGGAACAGATAATTCATTTACAAAAGGCCTCCACCAATAATGTCTTTGAAACTCTATAAAAGGAAGAGAGAGAGAGAGAGAGAAATAAAACCTTCTCAACCTTGCCAAGTTATTATCTGCATACAACTGAAAGTCAAACTGTTCCCATGCACAATTCTAGCAAAGCCATTTTCTGCAAAATTAATCAGTAAAGGACCCATACAAGAAGGGCCAATTGTTTTCCTCAAAACAAATCAGATGTGTTCAAGCATTTAGCTTCTTTATTTTGCAGAGTCTATATTCCTGGCTCCTGTTGGTCTCAATCATTAGATTCCAACAATTAGCACAGCTACATATTTACTGCAGACCAGCTTAAGCAAGTGGAATAAAATAGAAAGAAGCAAGTTCTGTAGAAAATAGTTACTGGCACTTTTTGGTTCCTTCTTCAAGTTTTGCATTTTTAGAAAGGTCACATATAATTGGCTGAGATATCCATCTAACTGAAAGATATCATAATATTACTGTGTATGCTCTAGGCCAGTGTTTCTCAACCTTGACAAATTTAAGGCATGTGGACTTCAACTCCCAGAATTCCACAGCCAGCATTGCTGGCTGTGGAATTCTGGGAGTTGAAGTCCACATGCCTTAAAATTGTCAAGGTTGAGAAACACTGCTCTAGGCTGCTTATCAGGACATTTTGATATGTTTACACGATTTAATTAAGAAACATGCATAACTCAAGCCCAGCTTATTGCACAATTCCTCTGCTTATACAATTCTCCACTGCTGAGAAAAAGAAGTCTTAACATTTTAAAAGTTAACATTTTTGCAGTGACTGCAAAAATTTGTGACTGATGAACCACCCATCTGAAAGGACTCATAATATTTCTTTTTCTTATGATATAATTTAGCCATGGTATGGTGTAATTAAATGACTTTTGAATGGAATTGGATCTTTAGAAACTTATATTTGTATTGACCATAGTCTGGAACTAATAGGGAATAAAGTCCAAGACATCTGAAAAGTACCAAATTGTCAGTGTTTATTGTAAGCTATTGTGCTCATTCATTTGCGCTCTCTCTTTGTGTAAATATTATGCAAATAGTCATTACTATAAACTTGCATTCATACTTGCATTACTCATTACAAAGGCCTTTCAATGAAAACAGCAAAAACAGTAAGATACGTAGGCTCCCTCAATGTTATTACTATTCTACCAATTTTTGCAAATGCAACATTTCTATCAGACAGATGAAAGACAGATTTATCCACTGGCTTGCTTTGTATAGTATATGACAGTGGTGGTGAACCTATGGCCCGCGTGCCAGAGGCGGCACTCAGAGCCCTCTCTGTGGGCACGCGCGCCATGCCCCGGAGATGGCAACCGTCCCTCTTCAACCAGCCGCCCGCTAACTCGCCGAGGTCCCACATGGCCGGATGCATCCCAGCATGGCTGGTTTCCCTCCCTCCTGTCCCATACCTCCTGGCCTTGCATGCTCTCCTTTTCCCGGGCACGACCCACTGCATCTATGCTTCTCTGAACTGCTGGCAGCGGGCTGCGGAGCCCCAGAGTGCGCCGGTTGAGAGGTTGGCAAGCTGTGGCTGCTGACGGACATTGTTGGCTCCCATGTGCTTGCTGGTCTCTGTGTGCGGGGGCCGATGGTGTCAGGCAGCAGCCGCCCTGGCCCCTGCCCCGCCATGCCCTGTAGCAATGGCACCCCTGCCCTGCCCCGCCTTGCCTTGCCTAACCCCGCAGGACGAGCCTCCTGCCCACTGCCCCACCTGCCAGAGACCCCCTGGATCTCCCCCAACCCTGCCCATCCCCCACAGGCATCCCTCCCCACAAACAACATTGAGGTGACCACGCACACCCAGTCTGGCATGACTACCACGGCCACGCCCACCTGGCACCCGGCAATAAATAAGTGGGTTTTGGGTTGCAGTTTGGGCACTCGGTCTCTAAAAGGTTCGCCATCACTGGTATATGATTTTGGGGGTGTGTGGGGTTTTTAAATCCATGTCAATTCTGCAGGGAAATTCACAATAATGTGAGTAATTCAACACTCCATGCAATCATATCATTTCAGAGAGGTATCAGTAAGTAAGACTGATGATAGAGATTGATACTCTGCTAATGACTGACTGTTTCCTGTCTCCTTTCGGCTTTGGTTTGGAAGATCTGAGGGGTATTAAATCATCCTCCCCCTCTACGCCATGGACTCCCTTTGATCGGACTTATGTACACTAAGACGGTCCTGCTGGCCCTGCGCGACTCACCCCTCGCGCAGGCCTGGCCCTGTAACATCTCCAGGGCCTCGAGGATGGGGTGTGGAACCCTGAGAGGTGGCATGCAGTGGTCACTAGCAAAAAATT